CTGGTATCATAAGACATTGGCAGACAATGTGCACCTCATCCCAGGGGGCCAGAAGACACAGATGAACTGTTCTCATCCATTTCTAACTCTCAGTTCAGGCCAGCTTCTACCCAAAAGTGGAACAGAGATTCTTAGCCAGTGTCTCTGAAGACAAAATGTTCAGTTCAGGCATGTGCCAATTTCAGCAAAGGTGTGTCCTTCTTTGCTCCAGGAGGGAACCATCTTCCCCTTCCTTCCCATTACTCCTAGGCTGCTGAGATATGGTGGGGAAATTCCTACCATCTTTTAGGTAGGATTGGGCCTGATGCCCCTCAATATCCATGGTCTTCAATCCCCTGTGGGCTCTAAGCACACAGCAGAGGATACTCCTTTCTTTGCCATGCTCTCAACCACTTCCTGGCCCCAGTCCTTAGCAGATTTTCATTATCTCCTCTCCCTTTTTAAAGTTTGATCTGCAAAGGCATTCTTTATTTTCTTTAGGGTTCCTACCTACAGGTGCATTACGAATGAAAATCTTCTGGCAAAAGTTCAGTTACAAACACCCATATGTAAGCCACACTTCCACTCATTTCTATCCTCTCATTTGTGTCATGGAATACTTACACTGGAGGTTGGGGTCCCACCAGCTCTAAGTCCTCATTTTTAGGACTCGGGGGGGGCCCAGAGATTCTTGGGGGAAATAAGTCAGGAGGAAGCAGGGAAAATCTACCTGTATTTCCACACCTTTTCTTCACACCTCTCAACACTTCTCCCCATACCACTTGATTCAAAATAGGTAAATAAGATATCTCTGTCTGAGGACATTATGGAGCAGGAGACCTTGACTCTCTTCTCCCCCTCACCCCCACTTTCTTAACTGCAGCTCAGCCACGAGGCGCTCTGCTACTTGTTTACATTTGCTCCCAGACACGGCTCTCATGACTATTCCCCTTCTCTCCTCTGAATTTTCCTAACATGCTAAGTGTGACCCACCTTTAAGTAAAACAAAGTCTCCCTTCACCCTCGTCTCCCCCACAGCCTCCCTTCCCATTCGGAGGAGCCTCTCATATGACATGTCAACACTCACTGTCCCCAGTTCCCCTCCCACCTGCTCTAGACCTATTTGGCCTCCTATGTTGCCGGGGTCTTGAAAGGCCTCACTGTCTATCCCGAAACCTAAGACAGAAACCTGCAGGTCATGCTAGCTACTACCCTCTCCCTCAGGCCACTCATCAAATGTTGACCAGAGCCCATTAATTCCACGCCCACCTCCTGAACCTCTCCAAGCACCAGCCCCATTACTGCTGCCCTCCTGAGGGACAAGCCTGGCTGCTCTCCTTGCCTCCAGCCTCCCACCTTCTGATAAGTCTGAATCACAAGTGTGACCATGTGATTTCCTGTTTAAGCTCCCCACATGTCCAGGGTAATGTTCAAAGTGCTTCACAAGTCACAACAGCACTGTGTGTGATCATGCCCCCAATCTGATACCATGCCACTTGCATTTCCCTTGATGTGCCCACTGCCTACTGCTAGGAGACAGGGCATCTACCTCTCTGTCAATATTTCTATACCTTTATCTATCCCCATTTCCTTGCTTTGTCTGCCACAAAACAGGAAGCAACCAGTAGTGATGAGCACACTTGGCATCCAGATCTTGGTTTCTAAATAAAATTCTCCGTTAAAAGGGATCAAGTGTCCCTGGAGACACGGCTGATCCAGGGCTGGGGCAAGAAGGATACAAGTTAAGCCTGGAACATCTTGTTATGTCAGAAAGTATGGACGTGTTCAAAAAACAAAGGGGACATGTTAAAAAGACACATGAGTTTGCTAGAAATCTGAGATGGATTGAGAATCAAAATACATCAAAGCAATGGTTTGCAACCTTGAGTAAATCAGAAATCCATTCATCCATATTGATAACAAGTAGATTAACAAATAGGGGGAAAAGATGCGCTGCACTTCCTTAGAAGTAGAATGCCAACCAATAAGTGTAAAAAGCTAGAGTTAAAAATCACATTGGATAAGGAACAAAATATTTACATGATTTCCAAATATCTCCCTACAAATTACTGGTTATTACAAAGGGGAAGGCATAAATTTAAATGGAGGAACCTGGTAGACATCAACTTGACCAAGTGATCACAGCTAACTTCAGCATTAATGGGATAATTGACATCGTATGCTGATTTAGGATGCCCTGAGGACTATCACTTCTGTGATATTCCTGCCACATAGCAAAACCCTAATCTTGTCATGTGGAACCATGAGACCAATCCAGATTGAGGGACGTTCTACAAAATACCGGGCCTCTATTCTTAAAATATGCCAGGCTACTGAAAGGCAAAGAAAGACTAAGGAACTCTTCTGGATTAAGAGAGACACATATAGTTAGTGTTACATTATGGAGACAACTGACAAAATGTAAATAAGGACTACAAGTTAGATAACAGTAGTATGTCAGTGCTAACCTTTCTGATTTTGTTAACTGTATTTATGGTATTAGTTAAAGAGAATGTCCTTGCTCTTAAGGAAATGCATTAAGTTTTGTGGGTAAAGGAGTCCAATATCCATAACTTAAATGGTTCAGAAAATACAACATATAAATAGGAAACAAACAATACATCATGAAGTAAATAGGGTAACATGTAAACACTTGGTAAATTTGGGTAAAGGATATACGGGAGTTCTTTATGATATTCCTGTAACTTTTCTCTAAGACTGAAATTATGTTAGAATTTTAAAAGTAAGCAAACAAATCAAGAATCCAAAAAGGGATGAGTCAGAATCATGGTACAGTCACTCCATAGAGCCTCACAATTACAGAGCCTTAGAAATAAAATGTGTGAAGCTATATAACAATATAGAAAAATGCTTCTATACAGTGTTGAATGATAAAAGCAGGACACAAAATACTTTAAGTGTGTATTATTACAACTACGCCAAAGCAAGCATGTAAGGAAGACTGGAAGCATAAAATCAAAAGTGGTAATAAGGACATTGGAAGGTAAGGAGAGACTGAGAGACTTTTTCCAAAAATATCAACTTGTTGAGAAAAATCCCTGTCAGCAAACGGCAGGGCCAAGGGTCCACGGGACTCGGTCGTGTTCCTGCATTTTCTTGCCTCGGGCTGCCCGGCCCAAACCTTCATCCTCACCAAAGAGAACAGAGGAGGTCTGGAGGGTCTGAGGCAGGGCCCGGGGGGCACGGAGCTGGGAGTGGGAGGCCCCCGGAGCAGGCATCTGCCAGCCCTGCCCAACAGAGCAGCTCTGCAGTCCTCTCTGACCAGGGAGCTTAAGCAGCTGTGGGCCCAGCTGAGGGGACGCCCGGCGACGGTGCATCCAGGGCTTGGGCCTCCCGGCCGGGCCAACACAAAGGCCCCTCTGAACACTCCCGGTGTGAGCTGACAGCCCTAGGGGCCCCTTGCTGGCCCTCTCTCTCCTGGGCACAGACAGTTAAGCTTCTTGGAAACTCTAACGGGTTTAGAACTCCTCGATGATCTTATCGAGAGGCAGAGTGCCTGGCTCTGTTGTCCATGGGGAAAAAGTGTTAAGTCTTTATCAGGGCTTTACATTTTTAACACAAACCAGTCTAGAAAGGATCGTTTTTGATGGGTGGCAAAAAGAAGTTCAGAAAACTTTGCTATCAGAAGGCAAGACTCAGAGAGCCCTGGGCAGCTTAGGGAAACAGGGTAGGAATAAAAGATTAAGTCCTCCGCTTTCACAGGAGAATCGGTTTTGCTCCTCTTATTATAAGAGGTGTCTTTAAAATTCCTTCCCTAAAGAAGAAGGAGTAAGAATGACATAGATTAAGAGACCCTCAGAACAGGCAGCTGAGGTGGAGAGTAAGGAACTCCAGACCCACAGGACACTGCAGCAAAGGCTCGTGGACTCCTGGGGAGAGAAACACCGTGCCCAGGGAGCTCCATGGCTAGGAGGACCCAGACCTGCTTCCCCAGTGCTCCCCAGCCTAAAGCAAAAAGCACCACCATTCTGAGTCATGTGACCTGATTTTAAAATATTTTATTACATAATCTTTTCATGGCACCATCAGGAGTAACAGAAAACGTTATTCTCAATTCCTGACCACATCCTGAAAAATATACATTTCTATTTATATATTTATATCAATACTCCACCCCTATCCCATAATCCCACCACCTATTGTAGGTCTTTTGCTTAAAGCAAGAAACTATTCTCTCAGGTAAGAAAATATATATGGAAGCTAAATGAAGTAATGGTAATTAGAGTGAGTAGGGTTAGCTTGATCATGGGGCCCAGGAGGAAGGGAAGTCCAGGCTAGGCAGGGTGCATCACTGGGGTCCAGGAGAGGTGCAGGACAGTGTATAAAAAGGCAGCATCAGGTAGGTGGACTCTGGTGTCCTTGGTCCATTAGGAGATGGCTTTTGCCTTAGGAAGGAAGGCTTCCCAGTACTTTGCCAGCTGCAAAGAATTGGGGACAATAAGCAAGTTCCCCCTTCTAGTGGCAGAACTGAGCCTGGGAGGGGATCAAGCACGGTGCCAGAGCACTCCAAGGGCCTCAGCCACCCCAGGGGAGGCCTGAGGAGCTGAGACAGCTAGGCTGAGAGCAGTCCCTGGGACACACTGGCCTTCCCTCTCTCTAGACCTGGGGGAAGCATCAGGGGCAAGGGCCATCTCTGAAGACAGTCCACGTTCTGCCCTGAAGTTCCCCTACTGGGATCACAGCTTTGTCCAGCTCAGTGAGCACATCACAGTGGGGGCCACTGCCCCACACACTGACTGGGGCCTCAGACTCAGGAGGGTTAGGTGGCATCACAGGGTTACACAGAGAGGAGAGCTGGGGTTGTCCTTATAACTCACTACAGGATGAAGGCAATCCTGCTTAGTGAAAGACTCTATGACTGCTCCCTGTTAGGGCAACAGGGCCTACTTTCAATTACTGATTACAGCAGGGCCAGCCCGTGTCCTGTCACCAACACCATAAGTATGCAGCTGACCTCTGGAGCAGACAGTGGAGGACAAAATCATGCATAACGTACGTACCTGCTGCTGTGAATACAGGAGTGTCTCAAGGTACTTGATCACGTGGTTTTTGAAGTCCTTGGATTTCTCTTTCTACAGGAGATAAGATTCTACACTGACCATCCAGACAGTTGCTCTTTCACCTCTTGATAGGATGGTGGTGTTTATTGCTGACCAAGGCTAAGTACAGCCTCAGAAAGTAGAGCCAGCAGCTGGCATAGCTACAATTTCCAGTCAAACAGCCCCTGCCAAGGCTTTGCAAGGCTTTCTTGCATGGTGGGGGGTAGTGGAGGAGAGGGGACAAGGGACTAGAGGGTACATGACAGCTGCAAGCTGTCTGTCTAACTGCTCTAGTCCAGCAACAAGTGTAGGACAGCTACTTTGCCTCAGGAACAAACACTAGCGCACACATGCACACACACACAGGCCACACCACTTGTTCACAACTACCAAGTCACTGGCACCCCTGTCTGTCTCCCTGAGCAATACCTGTGGGCAAAACCAGCCCCACCACTACACCAGGCACCACACACTCATGAGAAATTAGGATCTGCCATTTCACCTCAAATCGTATGACTTCTTTTCGGACCACAGTTGAAATCCGTTCGAAGTCCCTTTCATACTGAGTCACCCGAGACTCCCACTGGGAAGAAAAAGGAAAGAAAGGACCATTTAATATTACGGTAGCAACTCTATGTGAGAACACAACTGGTCACATCTGCCTGTCCCTCTGGGTAAGATCAGATACTACATGGAGAGTCGGCATGTAAGTCAGGGTCCAGCAGAAGGCCGCCTTCAGGGCTGGCTGGAAGGATGCGTGTGCCCAGGACAAGCTGGTGTCTAAGAAAGCTCTGGTGTACATGCGCACCAGCAGGGCTGGCAGCCCCCACGAACGGAATTCAGTTCTCATGAAGGGTTATATCTGAATCACCTTGGAACCTTCCAAAGACCCGTTCCACAGACACTCTGACTTGGCAAGTCTAGGTGGAATGGGAAAAGAGGAGGACCAGACCTTAGGGCAAGCCTGGCTTCATTCTGGGGCTACTCCAGCAGCCACCATGCTTTAGACTCAATCATCTCTCTTGCCTGCTATGGGGCTCCAAGCATCTGGGTGGGATGGGACCCAGGAGAACACCCCTGCTGGGCTGCCTTGGGGGCCTCACCTCTACAATCTCGTCCTTAGCCTGCTGCAGCTTGTCAGGCTTGCTGGCCCACAGCAGGCGAGCCTCAGCCTCTCGCTTCTTCTGTAGTGTGGCTTGGGCATCCTGCCAGCGCTGCCATGTCTTCATGCGCTGGTCGAAGGCAGCCTGTGGGGGTCAGGGGTTGGGGAAGAGCACGACCAGGCCTTCAAGAGCTCTGGCTTTCCTGGGTGGGGCAGGGAAGGGCGGGGCTGTCCAGCAGCTGTGCTAGGGAGGGGCTGAGCGAGGGCAGGTCTGCAGCCATAGTTAGTGCCCAGCTGGAAGCTGAATGTGGAAAAGGCACAAGCTTGGGTGCTGAGAGTCCTCTCCAAGCCTCCAGATGGCCAGCGCCATGCTGCTTCATGCTAACTCCCAAGCCTAGATGGCTGGGGCACAGCAGGTGACTTGATGCCGGTGCTCAGTGCTATGGCTTCTGAACGGCCTCCCTGAGGCCAGTTAATTAACAGGTCTACACACCTCCTGAGTGTCTGCCAAGAACTAGAATACATGAGTCTTGCTTTCATGGAGCTTATAAGCTAACAGAAAAGGCCAACATTATGTTAATAATCACCAATAAATAATTACAAGTATGCAGAGTATACAGAAAGGTACTATAATGAAACTGGGGCCTAGCTTAGCCTGGGAGATTATCAGGGAAGAGGAACCTAAGGAAGCAAACTTTAAACTGAACCCAAACAGTATGAGAATTACAACTTGAAAGCCAAGAGGCGAATGTAGCTTAACACATCTTTGAATCAACCCTGGAAGCCACCACAGCGACACAGTGCTTTCATGGCACACATACACTCAACCGCTCCAGGCCCTCCAGGCCCCCAAGAAGCCTCCTGAAGTCCACTTGCCAGTTTTCCTGGTTTCCAGCCCCTGACCACAGTCAACATTCCCAGAGGACAGCTGCTGGCCTAACCACACCCTCCCCACATCCACTGGCTTTAGAGGCTTCAAGAGGGAGCCTGGATGAACATCTGTGTCTGGGCCAGCCTCCCAGCCCTGCTCCACTTAATTCCCCTCCCTGCAAAAATTCCCTGGATGTTTTCTAGGCCTCCTCAGTCAAGGTTTTCATCAAAACTTGAATCTTAGGGAGTGAAATGCCACCAAATTCATCTTCCTCAGTATTGTGGCTGCTGCTCACCTGCAATTTCTTAACATCTCAGTGTCAAAGAATTAGGTAAAAGGTGACCTCATAATCCAAGTACACTCAAGCCTAACCCCCTGAGCTAATTTACAGTGGTATTAACATTAACTATTAATAATAGCTATTAATTAACAGGTCTGAGTTCAGGGAAGAGCAGCAAAGAAACATCTGTTCATCTCTCCAACGAACTGCCAGCTCATCATGATGAGAAGGGCAGGTGAAGGGCCTCTGAGAAAAGATCAGCTCACAGTTCTGTGCTCTAAGTTCTGCATGCTGCCCCAGCCCCAGCCCGTGGAGCTCTAGGCTGGATCTCCCTCATCCCTGTCCTTAAGGCTCACCCTGCCTGGGGGGTCATATCGAAGAGCTGTGCTCCCCAGAAACCCCAAACAATGTTCCTCTCTGAAAGCTTCCCCAGAGAGAGCTCTTCCCTGGATGACTCCCCAGTCCATGCAGTCTGACCAGTTCTAAGAATTCCAAAGCAGGTTATTTTTCCAGCCTCTATCACTCTGGAGTTTGCTGCAAACCAAAGAGCAAAGGGAGAGGACAGTGAGCAGTCTCACAGGCGATACAAAGCGACTCTCCCTCGGAGGAAATCAGCGCTGGGAGCAGCTCAGCTCTTAACGCAGGAGCTCCCTGGTAGGGGAGGCGCTCAGGCTGGGGAGGCGGGGTGCCTCCGGTCCGACTCAAGAGGCTCATACATCCTGGTCCCAAGCTGGATCAGCAGCAGGCTCAGGCCCTTACAGGGCAGGCGCCAGGCTCCCTCTTGGCTCTTCCCTGTCTCAGGCAGGCCATGCGAGAGCTAATACCATTGCCCAGTGAGGCTTCCTTGGCCACTTTGAAAGGTAATAGGAAACCAGACTGCCCTGGTCACCAGGAGAAAAGGTAAAGTGCTTGACCCAAGAGGCAGGCTGCAGCATGGTTACCAATGTGGTCAGCACAGCACACAAAGAGCCCTGGTGACAAGCCTATTCAGCCCCCTGGCCACAATCCACCATGCAACACCAAGCTGGTTCCGTCAAGTTACCTGACTGCCCACATGGAAGGAACAAGTGGAAGCCAGCAAGAGCTCCTGCCAGAGCACAGCCGCCGCTTACTGCTAAAGAGGCAAAGACCAAAGGCCTGAGGACGTGACTGCTCCAGGGGGCCAAGACAGCAGGTCTGCAGTCGGCCTTGCTTCAAGAAAGGAGCACAGAGGACACTATCCAGCTTTGACAGTAAGGACGGGCCTATTTGGAAACTCGAGTGGCCATGTCTCCAAAGGCATTTAAAAACCTGGCTGTGGGCCTTAATAATGACTCAGTGAAAGCTAGCTAACAGTTAACGTGGACTTCCTGATTCACAGGATACCTTCTCCCTTTAGTCGGAAAAGTTACACCTATTTTGAGCATAAAGGATGCAACTTTCTTGGGAAGTGGAAGAGCAAAGGAAAAACAAATTAAATCAAGGGGAGGAGAAAGAGGAAAGAAAACAAGCTTACACGGACTATGGCCAAGAGGCGAATGTAGTCACTCAGGAGCTCGGCAAGGAGGAAGAAGTCATTGGTGGCCTGTTCCTGGTGGAGCTGCTCAATTTTTTCTTCTACCTCAGCCAGTTGGGAGAGTGCCCGTGACAATGCTGTGTTGTCCTCAGAGCTCCCGAGCATGGCTAGACTCTTTGCAAACTGGGCTGTGTTCAGTGCTAGCTCTGGAAGGAGGAGGACAGCAGAGGGCTCTGATCTCACAGGGAAGAGACAAGTCGGCTGGCATTACATGGCACGCAGCAATGCCACCCCATGCATATCTGGCAACGGTGGGCTCTACAACTATGTACAGAACTGTATACAGCCAAATGTATTCAGAAAGTGAGGGGAATGCAGCTTGGTCACAGGAGCAGGGAAAGGCACCTGCTGCCTGTCTTAAGTCTCAGTAGGTTAGGCCTACCAGGAAGCAGCAGCTCCAGTACTCCTGGGGAACCAGGGACAAGTTTACACCAACAGGCCACAGGAATGACTCTGATTTGTCGTAAAGCTCATGGTAAGTAGCCCGTCTGTAGGGGACAGAATGAATGCATGTGCACACTGCATAGTCTTGCATGTTCTAGAGCAGGACCACCTTTTTCTGTGAAGGGCCAGACAGTTTAAGCTTTGTGGGCCACATATGGCCTCACTCCCACTTTTTTTTTTCCATTCATTGTTTAAAAATGTAAAAACCACTCCTAGTTCACAGCAATAGGCCCAGGGCTGGATCTGGGCCATGGGCTGGGCCATATTTTGCCAACTGTTACACATGCCTCAGTCTAATTTTTTTCTGCCTGTTTAGACTTCTGATTCTCAGCATGTTTAAGGCAGAGAAGGAAAGCATTCAAACTTGGCAAATTTCACTAACTCTTATGCATATCTCACCAAAGAAACCTGAAGAATGGTTAGGAGACATATATGGTTTCCCTGCATCTACATATTGCCCATTTGACCATGTAGCTAAAACATGTGACATCACTTTGGATATAAGCCACCAACTCAACTCATACCAACAGAAGCCCATGCCCAGATCAAGCTGTATCTGGGACAGCTTCCCTGCACCTTCCCAGGTAGACAGTACAGTGCCCACAGTGGCTGAGTCGTTTCCTGCTAGGAGATGCAGGGCATATCTTTTCGATCAGAACATCAGGGACCAAGGTGGGCTCAGAATTACAACTTGAATGGCTGAGAGGCTTGGCAACAGCATGCCCTCCCATCTCCAGCTAACTGGAGACATCAGTTTCCCTCAGCTCCAAGTGCATTCCAGGGGTTGTTACCTTTCCTATGGTTGACTAGAGTTTCTACAACAGCATGCAGTTTCCGTAAGCGCTGCTCCTCACACTCTACTTCCTGGAGCTTCTCCTCAAACCACTGAAACACACAAGCCCAGAGCTTTAATGGAGGTTACTCCTATACATGGAGAGTACAGTCTTTCCTTAGTAGTTGTTTTAAAAAATGGACAGAATTATTTTACAAAGAACGTCTCTAATCTCTGAAAGCTCAGGACTCCTCAGGGCCTCTGACCCATAAGCCTGAGGAGGTAGGAGAAGCTGAGAGGCACAGGGCTACTCACAATATCAGATTCATTCATCTTGATGGTCATTTTGCTGACCGCGTCTGTGGCTTTGTTGAACATCTTGAGAAGACCAGCACCACTCAGTGTCTGGGTGCCCACGGCACGTGGCAGCTACAAGACCAAGAAGGTGGGGATGGCAAGTTATCTGCTGTCCCTATTTTAGGTTCATAAGAATTAGTATCCATCAGATGGTAGGCACAAAACTTGCCAAACAAATTAAACAGTAGATCTTTTTCAAAGGCAATTAGGTAAATCCGTTAACAAGTGTATATATACAGAAAGAAAAATCAAAAGACCATGTTAAACAGAATCAGCAAAATTTTCAGCTTCTGATATTGTGTGAAGAAAGAGAGTAGAGTGTAAGTTTTATGTGGCTAGTTGACCTCATGTTGAGATTGCCCACTCTGGCATGAGCTGCCTAAATACCAGGGTGTTTTTGTTGAAAGTCAAAAGTTCCTTTGGATTAGCATACTCTGCACACAGCAAAATTTAAGGTCTTGAGAGACTCGGAAGTTGTGCTGTGATCCTGTTTGGATTTTCCTAAGTGAACAAAGGTCCAAGGACAGGAGCATTTTTTATTCAGACTAAGGCTACTTTCAGGGATGATCGAGTTAAACCATGCATACCAAATATTTAGAAATAATTTGATTGCTTCAGTCTTATCACCACTTTCTTAAGGCATGGAAGGGATATGGAAGCATCTGCAATATATATAGCGGACCATGGTGAAAATAGGTTTTAGTGCTTATGACTCTCAGGCAATACTTCTCAACTAGGGGCCATTTTGCCCTATAGGGGCCATCTGGCCATGTCTGGAGATAATTCTGGTTGTTCAAACTGGGAAGGAAGGACACCTGGCATCTAGTGGGCAGAGGCCAAGGATGCTGCTAAACTTACAAAGCAGGAGAGCCCCCTACAACAAAGAATGACCCAGCCCAAAGGTATCGCTAGCTAAGCCCTGTTTCAGTGGTATGAAGTAGGGATGAGGGGGTGAAATGGATTTAGGAATCCCAGAGGAAGACTTAACAGACTTAAAGCATTAGACAGAAAAATTTTTATTAAAAAATTTCACTGGGGTTGGGGGGCAACAAACACAGACTAAGTACTATTTTCTCTATTAGAGCAAGATACAGTATATGTGAATTTAAGAAAAATTTTAAAATGGAAAAATATAAAAGGAGAGTCCTACTCTGTCATTTTCTTCCTTCTAGTTTTCTTTCCTGTAACACTGTTTTATTCTAGTGTTCCTTTTAATTTGTAATGACTAACATGTTTCTACAGCTGCATTTATATGCTGTTTCATGTTTCACTTTTTAATTCTCTTAAGATATACTTCAAACGAATATATATACTTTCTGTATACTTCCTATTTATGACAAGACTAAAGTATTTGTTGTTTGGGTATGTTTTACTTTATTCTTCAATTGTTAGCAATTGGGCTGGCTCCAATTTCTCACAATCATGAATAGCCTACACATAGCCTGCAAAAAGACTGTCCGCTGGGATCAACACTTTTGCTACATGGCAGTTCCGTGGTCTGTGCTAATTGCTTTTGAAGCAACACCCCCCCAGCTCCTGACACAAAATAAGCATTCAATTTGAGCCAAGCAGTAATCTTTGAAAGACATGCCAAGGACTTTCCAGATAGATCACTGTGTTGATCTAATAAGATAAAACTAGGTTGCAGTTTGACCTCCACACCCAGTTGCTTTTGACTACAGGCAGAACTTGTTTAATATCAAAGGATGAAAAATACTTGCCACTCTTGGGAGCTTATAAACTAGAAAATAGTCTGGTACTAAGTGGCTATATGCATGGTAAGTACTCAATTATTTGTTGAACGAACTAGTTTCATTTCAGCAGGGGCAGGAAGAAATTATAAAATTCAGTTTGTATAAATTTTTAAATTCAGTTCAGCTGTACCTCTTCTTTTTCCAAGAACTCCCTGACATCAGGGTCCTGTAACATGGTAGGATGATTCACAATCCTCTGAAGGTACCTACAGGGTAAGCAGTTATCCGATTAGTCAAGCTGGCCTCACAAGGTTTTGTGTCTTAGGTGCTGGCAGGGGTACAGTTATCTTTCATGACTTTAAAATGTCCTCATATAAGGGACTGAAGTATGACTCTGTAAGCACATTCAAGTTCATGTTCCTCACATTTTCAAAAAGGGAAGAAAAATAACTGGTCAGAAAGAGACCTGACAGTCATTCATATCTGATTGTCCAAGAAGGAGAATATGATTGCCTGCTCACTCAGGATGGGGAAGAAAAGAAGATGGTCTGTTTCTAAGGTGGGAAGGTAAGATACTTAGGAGAGGTTACAGATAATACGGAGGTGTGAATCTTTAATCCACTCACTCAAGATTCATCTCTACTAACTCTAGTGAATGTCTCGTAATTTAGCCTAAGTTTTACCCTCTTACCTGTTCTGTTATTCAGGAAAACGGTTGTCTGATACTTACCTTTCTAGAGCAGCCCTCCGTTTCTCAAGAAATTCTGCAGAAGAAGAATCTTCCTTCCCAACTTTTACTTTTGTCATTCCTGGAAAGGAATTTAAAAATCAAGAACAACCATAAATCATCATGAAAAGGATAAACCTGTTAAGAAAAAAAAGCCCACAGGAGCAAAGGCAATGAGAACAACACTATGAACACAAGCCACTTCTGTGTCATGAACAGGGATGGACAACAGGTTCTTTTCATGAAAGTCCTTGTTTAAACTAGATTCAAAGTGCTGAAGGTTCTAAACTCTGGAACTGGTAGAGTGTATGTTTTCTAAAAGAGAGCCGTGGGCCTCTGAAACAACGACTGAAGGCTCTCCATCCTCCCTCCCCCNGTACATTTGAATCTGGAGGGAACAGCAGTCATTTAAGATGCCTGGATATCAATATATACACACACTATACACAAAGCTGTGGAAGTAAAACCAGAGCCTTCTACTGCACCCAAGGAAAGAAAAGATGCCAAAAAATGGTGAGTCTTTGTAGACCTGATGAGATTTATAGGAAATGCTATAATAATTCTTTTCTAACCACAAGATTCCACAGTGTTAATAGAAGTAGTCCCATATACTAAGCAGACAGTATACTGCAGAAACAATGCAAAAGAAAAAAAAATCCAGGCAGAATTAAAGACCACTGGCTTACCTATTAGGCTCTTCTCAGGTGGAGGAGGGACAATGAAGCCATTCTGAGAGTGTTTCTCTGAAAGCTTTTCATAAAGACCCAGAAAGTCACTAAATCTTCTTTTCACTGCAAACTGTTTATTTCTGAACATTGGTAAGCTCGTCTTGGGAATAGAAAAAACACAAGGCAATTTAATTCCAAAAAAGGGATGCATGAGTATCTTGAGTTATCTGGCTGACATCAAAGCAATCTATTTTCCACACCCTGTCCTTCAGCCACCTGGTAAATAACTCTCCAATGCTGCGATTCTTAAACTTTTTTGAGCTATAGTCCCCTCTGGCTGGCTGGGAGTCTACAGAGCCCTTCTCAAAATAATGATTTTAAATGCATATTTGGATTACAAAGGCAACTAATTAAACTCAAATATAGTTTCACTCCCAGGTTAAGAACCCCTGCTCTAAAAAAACAGATGTGCAAGTCTAAAGCTAGAATTCTATAGTCACCTATTAACCCATTCATCTTGTACTGACTTATTAAGGGTATTAGCTGCTGGAATTAAGCAGCTAAACTAAAAAAAAAACACCTGACTACACAGTGTTTTTAAGGGAGAGGATCAGATGAACTGTCTACACTGTAGACGCTTTAACCTCTAAAGGGTCATAGGATCTAGAACTCACAGGAGGCAGGCCAACAAGGAGTAGAGACAGTGTAAAGGAGACTTTTAGTAGAAAAGACTAGTAGGCCTATATCATAATGACAGATCATAATACTCACCAGATAGGCAAAATTTAAGAGGTTGGCCTTGCCAATTGTTGGCAAGGAAGCATATCAATGGGAACTTTTACACACTTCTGATGAGGTATAAATTGGTACAAAGACTTTAAAAAACAGTTGTGTTCCTTTTCTTCAATATCTGCATTTCCTATGACCCAGGGGTGAACTACTTCTGGATATATACCCTACAGAAACTCTTCCGTGTACGCTAGAAGACATGTGCAAGAATGTGCAAAGTTCATAATTATAAAAAGTGGAAACATGCCAAACAGTCACAACAGGAAAACAGATAAATATATTATGCTATAATCACACAATGGACTAACTACAGCTACACACACATGGATGGACCTGAGAAACAATGCTAGTAAAGAAAGCACTATTTTCAGCATGATACCATTTTTATGAAACTCAAGAACAAAGCAAAATAGTATATTGTTTATAGAGATACATAATGTGAAGACTTTTTATAAGGAAATGAGAGACAACTCAGGAGAGTGGTCACCTCTAAGGTGTGAGGCAGGGATATGACAGGGAGAGACACACAGGTGGATTCAGTGGTACTCATCTTAAGACTGGTGGTAGGTTCAGGGCTTCATTTTTTATGCTTCTTAACCTGCATACAACATTGTGTAAGTTTTGTATGCATTAATATTATATAAAAAAGGAAGACCAGATCTGAGGGGTAAAAGGTTAGGGAAAGTATTAAAAGAAGCTCCACATAGGAAACCTCAGAAGAACCAATGATTCTGAAACAAGTGATACAGCTTAGGACAATCTGCCAAACTAGCTCTAAAACACATAGTTCCTAAAAGGGACAAGATTATATCAGATACACCACGTGTCTTAACAAAACTTACAAAGAAATAATCTGAATGATGGCTTTCTTGGTATAGTCACCCACGTCTCTTAAAGTGGTCATCAACAGGGTCACTGAAACTTACCTGTGTTGTAACTCTGTAGGCTACGTAGGCATTCATACCATCCCCTATGGGAGAACAAGAAAGCAGGAGAGGGTTATTCTGTAAACCAAAGCAATGCTGTATCTTGCTGACACTTAACCAGGAATCCGAAGCCACCGGGGCCCTGTGTAAGAAGGGATACTTTGTTTTATCTCAAGCTGTATATACTATCCTACAATCCAGCTCCTACTTTGCCCCAAGGCCTCTGTGGTACATGTCATGTCCCCATGGATGCTGGCTGGGCCCCAGTTTGAGTGAGACAAGAAAGTCAGTCCCCTGTTCCAAAGCCAGGCTCCATTTATACCCTCCACAAAGCAGCAGTGCATACTGACAATCCGTTGGTTGTTATCATGCCAGTATTTGGGCTCGTTACACACATCTGTCTAAAACCAAACAATTCTCTTGCTGTGTAAAGGAGGAGGAGAAGGAAGCAACTGATGTAAAAGGAAACAAGTAGTTCTACCCTAGCTAGCCCTGGGCTCGATTTGCTCTTTCAGAAATACTGTCACAGCCCCCTCCACGGGTGCTGGGGGACACTGACCTCTCTCATCTAGCATGTTCACCCAGAGCAAAGGGCCTGGCAGGAAGACATTTTGGCTGCCTGATATCACACAAAGCTCTCTTCCCTGGAGGAATTCTTCTTCTGAAAAAGCCTTTGACTGTAAACAATTTGGGATACAAGCTACTGTTTTCCTCTGTGGTTGTGTCCTGACCCAGACCACTCATGGACATAAAGGCACCACTGATGCCCTGAGCACTGAAAACACACACATTAGACTCTAGCCAGACACTGCACTGGCACTGGACTCTGGTGTTTTGGGTTGGTTTTGTTCCTTTCCTCCCCACCCCTCAATTCTTTCCCACACCAAACAGGAATATCTAGGTCAACAATTCCTAGTGGCTTAAGCTTCTGAACTAGTCTTGGGGTGAGAGCTGAGGGGACTACTACTAAGGATGCTTACCACTAACAGAAAAAACAATCTAGATGTACTTTATAGGAAGAACATTTAAAATCTCATTCACAGTTGAATGGTCATGGTCAAATGTCCAAAGAGTCAGCCTCATCATTCAGAGACTGCATTTCAGGCAAGTTAAGCACAAACACACATAAAACATAGTAGCAAAGAAGGATCAGACATTCTGCCTGTGTACCAGCTGCTTTTACTGAGGCAGTGTGAGAGAAGAGACATACTTTTTACATGCTCTGTACATACAGAGCTCTCATAAAATATGGAAATGGGTCATATAGCAGCTTTAAATTTATATTAATTTCCTAAATAATATCCTAAGTAATTGAAGATGACATATGCAAACTACCAAGGCTCTAAAAAGCACATCCCAGTAGAAGTAGGATTCTAATTTATTTAGATGTGTGTGGGGATGAGAAGCACATGTTGAATAAACAGCCCACATCAACAGAATGTGTTGTTATAAAGATCAGGCCTTAAATATGAAAATGCTCTAAGCAGCCCAGTTCTTGGCATCACCATGACGAAGACTACAGACTATGGTGTAAGTGGAAGAAGGCTTACCACCAAAAGTGATGTGTTTAAATAAATCTGATCCATGGGATGTTTAAATTAGTGTTATGGGTTGAATTGTGTCCCCCTGAAAGACATGTTCAAAGTCCTAACTCCCAGTACCTCAGAATGTGCCCTTATTTGGAACAGGGTCTTAATAGAAGCAATCAAGTGAAAATGAGGTCAGTGTGGGCCCTAATTCAGTATGACTGGTGTTCTTATAAAAAAGGGAAGTCCTGACATAGAGACAGACACCTAGAGGGAAGATAATGTGAAGATACCCTGGGAGATACCACATAACAATGAAGGCAGAGGGTGGAGTGATGCACGTGCAAACTACGGAACACGTGAGACCGCCAGAAGCCAGGGAAGACGCACCAACAGTCCTTCCCTAGTGCCTGCAGAGGGGGGCATGGCCTTGCTGACACCACGATTCCAGACTTCGGGCATCCAGAACTCTGAGAGAACCTATTTCTGTTGTTTAAAGTCACCCCATTTGTGGTACTTTGTTACAGAAGCCCCAGGAGATGAATACACTCCTTCCCTTCTCCTGGTTCAAACATCATGATTTTTAAATATTAAAACAATTAGTATTACTTATAATTTATCTTACTCTACCAAGGATTTAAAGCAGCTAGGAACTAGTTTAAAATCAATGTGCTTACAGAATACGCATAAATAGAGAGGGAAGACAGAATCCTAAACATGTGATCCAAAATTCTGGTCCACATTGTGACCTTACAGTAAAGCCATATTTTACTTATTGGTCCTCAACTGCCTCTACTCCTGGATAAGGGAACAAACAGTGTAAGATGTTCATACACATCCTACCAGTGCAACATCCAGGGAGAGTTTAACAACAAACCACTTTGGCATGAAGTCTAACTAGACTTTATAAATTCCTGCTCCTAGTTCAGCATAGACTAAAAGTTGGAGATTACATTTTTCTCTTAACCATATACCCACTGCCCCTGGTTAGAACAAGGTCTTTACCACCTCTTCTGTCAGGACTATCCCTGGCACAAGGCAACTTGAGGCCTGTTGCTCTCTGCTCACTAATAGTTTTCATAAGTTTGGGACACAGGAAGGCTATTCAGAAGCTCCAAGTTCTTGCCAGAGTTAAGTATTGTGCTTTTTGAAAATCTAATTTCAATTTGACTAAAATTCAACCTGGGTCCTTCAGTCTTTACCAATGAAAGAGAAATGCAGACTTCCCTACCTCAATAGGATATCAAGAGTACATGATAAATGATATATAACAAGAATTCTAAACTTTGTGAGGGAAAAATAAATTCAGTAGCCCCAAATTTTACAAGGTGTTTCTTTAAGGTGCTTAAATAGAACTTATGATCTCAAAAGAGAATAATATTGTCTCATCAACTCTGTAGGAAAAGGCAACATGTGGATTTTCAAAAAGAGATTCTCATAATATTTGATGCTTCTGTTTTTTCTTCCTAAAGTCAAGAAAAGCCTAAATAAAGTACTGGGTAACTGCTGTTTTTGGCCTTAGAAGTATAGCAAGGAGTTTAATTTTACAGGAAAGATATGATGAAACACTTCATACTGGCTAGTTCAACCCTGGTGGTAACCATCTAGAAATCAGCTAAGTATGGTTTCACAGTCACATCCTACTAGCGCCAGGAGCCCCAAGTACACTTACCTATCTTCTCAGGATCAGTTACACCAACTGTCAAATCAAATTGGTCATCCTGTTCTTCTTCTTCTAGCTTTTAAGATAAATCACAGGAATTTGTATAAAAAAGGCTATCAACTTTACCCTCCATTAACCTTCTAACAGTATAATATCATTAAGATACATCCTACATTTCAGTGTTCAGCTCTGTCCATTCCCAACCCCCCTCAATGAACCAACGTCCATAGTTTTATGCTGTAGCCCACTCAAAGGTATTCATTATGTTTGTTTTCTTGAAACCTTATTTGACCATAATGAATAATGATAAGATTTTGGAAGACTTGCCCCTGTCAGGCTGAGGAGAGACTACACTCTTGAATATGGGAGCTTCAGACACTAAATATCATTGGTGACCACTGAAAGCCTCTGTAATATCTTCTGGGCAATAGATATTTTGCCCAAGAAAGAGTTCTTTATTGGATTCCGGCTGTTCATTAACCATAAAGGTCTTCTTCAAGAATCATAAATATTTTCCCAAGGTTCATACTCAACTCAACTTCAGACTGGCAGCACAGTCCTAAAACTCCCAAAGAAACAAGACGAACAGCACAAATTCTCACCTCTTCATAGCTTGGTTGGGGCTTAGAAGAATTTGTGGCTTCCTGCGGAGGAAGAGAAATGAGCGTTTTGGCAGGAGCCTTCTGATTATTTTGTGTGCTGTCCAGGGATAGCTCCACTGTGGCATCTAAAAACAATCGATATTTTATAACAAAGGTCAGTAATGGGTCTCTGATGGCTTAAACTTCAGTTCTACAGGCTAAGAGGCAAAAATGATAGCAACGACTCTCAATACTAAATTTCTTAGACTAAGAGAGTAAAAGCCAAGAAATTTTTACATGGAAAAAGGGGAGTATGGTAGATAAGTGTTCATCTAGCACAAGCTTAGTAGAGCAACCTCTCTCATTTCCAAATACAACTACTTGGCTACTCTCTCCTACCTAGAATTTAGGTAAGGATCAAACAAAAACACTACACAGCTGAATTAAGTGTGACATTTATTTTATTCTTAGGAATATACTTATAAAGCCTTACATGAACCCTATTTACTATGTTATAATTGTTTGTAAAAGAAGAATAATTCAGTTGTCTGCTTTACAAGACAATGTGACAGAAGAGGCAGGTATACTGACAGCAAAAAATGACATCAAAGGAAGTCAGAAAACCCGTAAGCTAGGAAAAGAGGACCCAGGGCCAGACACAGTAACACGTGGGAGAAGGCACTGGTCGCCACACCTCAGGATGGCTCTGTTGTTTTAGCACAATTTAAGAATTTCCATTCCCAACCCCCCTCAATGAACCAACGTCCATAGTTTTATGCTGTAGCCCACTCAAAGGTATTCATTATGTTTGTTTTCTTGAAACCTTATTTGACCATAATGAATAATGATAAGATTTTGGAAGACTTGCCCCTGTCAGGCTGAGGAGAGACTACACTCTTGAATATGGGAGCTTCAGACACTAAATATCATTGGTGACCACTGAAAGCCTCTGTAATATCTTCTGGGCAATAGATATTTTGCCCAAGAAAGAGTTCTTTATTGGATTCCGGCTGTTCATTAACCATAAAGGTCTTCTTCAAGAATCATAAATATTTTCCCAAGGTTCATACTCAACTCAACTTCAGACTGGCAGCACAGTCCTAAAACTCCCAAAGAAACAAGACGAACAGCACAAATTCTCACCTCTTCATAGCTTGGTTGGGGCTTAGAAGAATTTGTGGCTTCCTGTGGAGGAAGAGAAATGAGCGTTTTGGCAGGAGCCTTCTGATTATTTTGTGTGCTGTCCAGGGATAGCTCCACTGTGGCATCTAAAAACAATCGATATTTTATAACAAAGGTCAGTAATGGGTCTCTGATGGCTTAAACTTCAGTTCTACAGGCTAAGAGGCAAAAATGATAGCAACGACTCTCAATACTAAATTTCTTAGACTAAGAGAGTAAAAGCCAAGAAATTTTTACATGGAAAAAGGGGAGTATGGTAGATAAGTGTTCATCTAGCACAAGCTTAGTAGAGCAACCTCTCTCATTTCCAAATACAACTACTTGGCTACTCTCTCCTACCTAGAATTTAGGTAAGGATCAAACAAAAACACTACACAGCTGAATTAAGTGTGACATTTATTTTATTCTTAGGAATATACTTATAAAGCCTTACATGAACCCTATTTACTATGTTATAATTGTTTGTAAAAGAAGAATAATTCAGTTGTCTGCTTTACAAGACAATGTGACAGAAGAGGCAGGTATACTGACAGCAAAAAATGACATCAAAGGAAGTCAGAAAACCCGTAAGCTAGGAAAAGAGGACCCAGGGCCAGACACAGTAACACGTGGGAGAAGGCACTGGTCGCCACACCTCAGGATGGCTCTGTTGTTTTAGCACAATTTAAGAATTTTTCACAATTATAGTTTCAGATCATCTTGTAAAGATTAAGTTATGCTTAATATATGCTGTCAAAGGGACATAATATATGTGTGACATCTGAAAATCTTTCTAATCAAAATATTTAAAACAATAGTGCTTAAGAACTGCCTTTGTATATCTGACAAATCTCAGTTGAGAAGAACAACAACTTCCCTAAGTGTTCTAGAGAAGGGAAGGACTTTTAAAAGTGCATTAACATACTTTTAAGCATTAATTTTTTTCAGGCACATGGAAAGAATGCACTTTCAACTCAGAGCAATGGAGATGGAAGTTTAAAATCTAAACAGCCTAGATTTTTTTTCTTTTTAATAAAGAAAAACACAAATATCTATTTGGATTTCAATTTAATTTTAGTCATAGAGAATTCAAAGAAAACTGTTTCTTTTTCTTTTCTAGACTTGCATTTGGAGCTAAATGAAACCAGAGACAGATATCCATAAGACATAGTCAAGTGCTACATCAATGTCCTAAGCATTAAGTGTGAATCATGTCTATAAGCAAGCTTGTCACAATGTTGGAATCCAGTCCCTATAAGAAAAAGAAAAGAGGTGGTAACATAATCTGACCCTGGTGTGGGAGTGTAAAACAGAACAAAAATATACATAATGAACACCTAAGGATGGTAGGATTCTTTGAAGCACGCAACCAGCTGAAGATGTTTCAGATGTTCACATGTAAGCCCATGTAAATTAGTTAATAAAATTATTTCCACAATCAATATCTAAAACATCTGAGAGGCTGCTGAAATCCTAACCTTGACGTCTCATTGTAGGCATTCCTTTCTAGATTGTTATGTTCCTTTCTTAGTAGTAAGGCAGGTACTGGCTGCTTATGGAGACAGTAGGGGAATGATATATCAGAATTCTCATTAGTAATAAATATGTCCCTTAATAAAGATCTTCTACATGTTCATGTACATAAAACCCAACCATGGTAACTTGGTCACACTAAGATTTCTGGGCTCCTTATAAGGAAATATCATATAGCTGTTAAGGTCCTAAAGAGAGAAAAACCTTCTTTTCAACCTGCTATATAACTAAAGATAATCTGTTATTTGCATATCTCCTCCAGATACTTTATCCAAAAAATAACCACTACCAGAATGAATAGTGTAATTTAAGTTTCAGAGATTAAATGGAAAATTTCTATATCTTTATAGCCCTTCTTCTCAACTCTTCTTCCCTTCCATGTCTTTCAAATTTCCTACCCGAGTTCTAAAAGAAGAGTCTTCCCAAGGTCTTACCCTCCACCCTCTCTTCTCTCCCTTTCCTTACCACTCTCACATGGCAGTTCCAACTACCACCTCTAGGAGGATGCTTCCCGGATCCCCAGTTCTTCCCTGTATCCCCAGGTAGAGCACCACAGTTCAAACCACCTTCTGGGCATTGCCCGTTTTTTTTTTAATTGAAATGTTGTAGATATATAATCTTATATTGCTTTCAAGTATGAAACACAGTGGTTCACCAGTTACCCACATTATTAAATCCTCACCCCAATAGATAGTGCAGTTACTCTCCGTCAACATAGGAAGATGTTACAACCATTCTCCATGCTGTACTACCATCCCTGTGACCAACTCATATTACGACTGAGAATTTTTGTGCCTCTTTATCCTCCTCAGCCTTCCCACTCACCCACCCCAACCCCTCCCACAGGCTAACCACCAGTCACTTCTCAGTGTCTGTGAATCTACTTCTATTTTGTTCATTTTGTTTTTATATTTCAATAAGTGAAATCGTATGGTAATTGTCTTTTGTCTTTCTCTGACTTATTTCACTGAGCATAATACCCCCTGGGCCCTTCCATGTTGTCACAAATCGCAGGCTTGCTTTAATGGATGAATAATATTCCATTATGTACATGCACCACATCTTTAGCCAAGATATCTTCTGTATCTTGGCTATAGTAAATAGCATGTCAATAAACATAGGGGTGCAGATATCTTTTTGAATCAGGTATTTTGTTTCCCTTGGGTAAATTCCTAGAAGTGGAATTACTGGGTCAAATTGTTTTTCTATCTTTAGTTTTTTGAGGAACCTCCATACTGCTTTCCACAGTGGCTGCACCAATTTACATTCCAACCAACATTTTAAGAGGGTTCCTTTTTCTCTACATCCTTACCAACACTTACTATTTCTTGTCTTTTGGATAGTGGTCATTCTAACTGGAGTGAGGTGACTGGGCATTTCCCTTTGCATTTCAAATTTACAATATCTAAAACCCAAACTCACTTTTCCCCCCAAAGCCAGTTTCTTCTTTAGAATGCACTTCTCAAAAACTGCACAATTTTCTTCTCAATCCAAGGACTTGAAATCTTTCACCCTGTCTTCAAACCCCATTTTTGGACACCCATGACATTCAATCACTAACACCAGATTTTGCTGATTTCTCTTTTGAAAGCATTTCACTTTTCCCTCCCTACTCCCATCACCTTGTTTTCAGTCTTTGACACTTCAACCTTGAACTAATCTGTAATTACCTTCTGAAGTCTCCAGTCTGTCTGCTGCAATTCATTTTATATAATTCCACTAGATCAGTCTTCCTAAAACATTACTTTGCCCAAACTGCTTTCCGTATTCAAAACTGCCAATGGTTCTTAATTGTACTCTGATGAAAATTCGAACTATAATTATTGACATCTAAAATCCTCCTAAACTACATTTCCAGCCTCATCTTCCATGGCATATCTAAGAACCCCCACTTTGGCCCACCTAGTTTACTGACTATCCCTCAAATGTACCTTGTACTTCCTGCCCAGTCATTTGTACCCTTTCTCCTTTTCTCCTACATAAATTCTATTTCTTCCAGGAAGCCTTCCCAGATTACTCTAGACGAGAGTTTCTCCATGAGGGCACTACCAACATTCTGGGCTGGATAATTCTTTGTTGTAAGGGGTTGTCCTGTGTATGTGGGGTGTTAGCAGCATCCATAGCCTCTACCCACCAGACACCAGTAACACTCTCAGGTGTGACAATCACAAATGTCTCCAGCCTTTGCCAAATGTCTTCTAGAATGTGAAATCACCCCCTGCTGAGAATAGGGCCATCCTCCCCAACAATACATTATTGGGCCCAAGATGTTTATGCTAATAGTGTTGAGATTAAGAAGCCCCACTCTATACTAGTGTTTTTCAAACTGCAGATTGTGGCTCATTGGTGAATTGTGAAGAATCAATTCAATGGGTTACAAACAGCATTAAAAAAAAAAATCGAAAATGTCATATTGTATTAAAAATAGTAAGGACAAATCATTTAATAAAACTTGTTTTGGTTTTATGTAAGCATGTACGTATTTTGGATTATGAAACAAAATATAACTGTTACTATGAGACTTGGTCACAAAAATCAAAAGCCACTGCTTTCATCTGATCTCAAACCCCTTAAGAGTTAGTATTTTTATCATTCCTCTGGCCATGCTTATATTATTGTTTAACAGTCTAACTCACATTCTTAAATAACTATGTTTTATGTCTACTCCCTAAACCTGTAAGAATCCTGATGGCAGGGACTGCATTTCATCTGTTTTGGAATCCTCCACAATAGTATCCCTACATAGTTATGTTTCCAATACACAGTATATATGTATTGTTGTTGTTGTTTTTTACTTTAACTCAGCAGCTCAGAAGATTCCTAGAATACATTTTGAGCCCATACTTGCCTGCAAAGAGATCCCGTGGCTCTTGGTCTTGTTCCTCATGGATCCCATTTTCTTGGGAGCCATTGCTGATGGAAAGGGAATCAATTCTCTTTGGAGACTGGGGCTTACTCTGAAAACAAAGAGATACTTTGAATAAAGTGATACCATTAAAAACAAACCTGGAAAGTGACTTTTAGTGCTTCCCTCAGGTGCTCCCTCAGACGTTTAGGGAAAGACAGGACCATCAGTCAGCCAGTTCAATGAGCAGCAAATCATTATTAGTGCTGTAAGTGCTGCCCAAGTGATCACAGACCTAAAATAAATGCACACATTTCAGGGTTAATTTCTAACACCATGACCTTACTGAAATGCCCCACCCCAAAGCACATGATACCCACACAGGCATGTGAATACACAGATAATTTTTAAAAGAACCTGTCCAAATGTAGTTCTCCCTCTCAGCTGATGACCTTTATCCTTTTAAATGCTGATGGGGCACATTCTAGTGACCAGGACAGCACACTGGAGTCCGGAATTCAAGCTCTGATCCTGGCTTACTTTGTGGCCTTGGCTAAATTGTTCACTGAAGCCCAGCTGCATGGATGTTACCCAACCCCCACCCTGACAAACAGAGGAACATATAACACAACATCTAATGCTGCTTGTAAATACAACTTGTCTTTTCATCCTTACTTAACTTACTGTGACACAATTTTTCACCACACCCATGTCAGCCTCGCAGAATAAAACCCGGTCACGCGTAGCCTAATAGGCACGTGGTGAAAATATAGTCAGTCCCTGGCCTTTGTCAGAAGCTCTATGATCAGCCACAAACGAGGGTAGGGTGGGGCCCCCACTGGGTGCGGTTGTGAACAGAGCAGTGGATGCTGCAGTGCAGGAACAGAAAGCTGGAAAGCCAGCTTCCAAAGCCATGGTGTGGTATTGTAGGGCTTTGAAGTCAGACGCCTTGGCCAAATAAGTTAAATGACCTAACTTAAAGGATCTTTTATGAAATTATTTCCTTAAAATATCTGAGGGATTTTGTTCCTCTGAAACAGGTCTTTTCTGACCCAACAGAACCAAGTAAATGGCCGATCAACCGGATCCTCTGAATTTGCCACACAAAAGCTCCATCCCAACATTGGGATCACCCTCAGGGAAAGAAACTGCTGCCAACACTTAGATTTACATCAGCAAACAAGGCTTCTACTGGGACTTTTCTATGCTAATAAGGTTTAAAGAGTCCTTATTGTACATGCTTAAATGTTACACCAAATCTGTTAGAGACAGTGATCCAGTCTCTAGATCTTAAAAAACAAGAAAAATCACTGCAGAGACACAGACAACAAAGAAAAGGGCAAAACCAAAACCCACATCTCCCTTTTGCCACAGACATTGCCAATTACTTCATTACATATATATTTCCTTCCTATCTATACTATTGTGCTCTTGTACAGTATAGCGATCTCATAAAAAGCCATCTGATTTTTTTTATTAAGGTATCATTGATATACAATCTTATGAAGGTTTCACATGAAGCAACATTGTGGTTACTACATTCTCCCCTATTACAAAGTCCCCCCACCCCCACCCCTTGCAGTCACTGTCCATCAGCGTAGTAAGTATAGAGTCACTACTCGTCTTCTCTGTGATATACTGCCCTCCCAGGCAGTGTGCGACTCATAATGCCCATTAATCTCCTTATCTCTCCCTCTCCATCCCCTTCCCTTTGGTAACCGCTAGTCCCTTCTTGGACTGTGAGTCGGCTGCTGTATTGTTCCTTCAGTTTTGAAAAGCCACCTGATTTTAGTTTAGTTCCCACTGAAACCAGTCATCTCTAGATGAACTTGTAGGAGAGATTAAAGCCTAAGATACAGTAAGGATATATGTACACAAATGTAATTTACTAGTGGGTCACAGGAAAACTAAAGTAAAAGGAAAGATGCAGGTTAGAATGCAGGCATTTTAAAAAACACCTAAAAGAACCCATTCCTGTGATACGGAGATCAGTAAAGCCAGCTTTCCATTCCTGACTTATCATCTAAACTTGGGAGTTTAAAAACTAAGAACATTTTCTAGAGCAATGTTAGAACAGCAGTCTCTGTCCCTGTAGTAATGGAAGGAGACAGACTCAGAGGGGACAACTAGAACATGACTACCTGTCTCGATCTTCCTCTACCAGACCTCTTTCAAGGCCAAGCTGTAAATTGCTTGACTAGAACTGTAATGAACATTAAGACTTGTGCTGCTTTAGTATGTGACATAATAACTACCTGTGAGAAGAGAAAACTGCTCCTCAGATATACTCTGGGACTCCACCCCCAAAACCACTTACCGCTGAGTTCTAAGAAAGCTGAAGACAAATGATTAATGTTTACTACCTAATCTTTCCTGTTCTTTTACAAAATTATTCTTCTGTGCATGTAAAACCCTGTATTCTGTTTTTTTCCCCTTTCATCATCTGACCATTTTCCACATCATTAAGAGTTGTACAAAAATCCCACTTTTATTGACTTAACTATCACCTGGGTATAGATCACAATGTAGTCATTTTCCTAAGGATGGACATTAGACATTTTCCAGATTTTTATCATCCCAAGTAATGCTGTGTTGTCCATCTCTATATGTCTGTGTTATTTCTTTGGGATAGATTCTTAAATAGAATTACCTGACATAAAATTTTTAAAGTCTCTGCTCAGCTGCCTTATTGAAAGACTACCAATTTACATCCCCTCTACCCCCCTGCAATATGTAACAGTGCCACACCCACAGCAATATTAAGCAGTCTACCTCTTAAAAAATCCTTGCAAGGTTGACTGGTGAAAAGCTGTGTTATTTCCACATGTTTACTGGCCATCTGAACCTCTGGTTTGTTTTGATGTCCTTGACCCATTTTTCTATGCTAAGTTAGCATTACTTAATTAGATGTACACTTAACTTAGATGTTAACCCTCTCTCTGGCATATGGTACCAGTATCCCTCTCCAACTTTATCTCTTTTCACCTTTGTCTTATTTTTGACCTTACCAATTTTATTTTCAGTTGATTTGATTTGGACTGCATTGGACAAACTAAGCTTATTTCTTTAGACTGAAGAGCACCCAGCACACAGTTGGCCTTTGAGGCATATTCTCAACTTTTACTTAAAATGAAATTCAAGAGAAGCTGAGCAGAACTATTTTTAAGGATAAGAAGAAATGGACCCCAGTACAGCATAGGGAATATAGTCAATAATATTGTAATATCTTTATATGGTGACAGACAGTAATCACACTTATCATAGTGAGCGTTTCATAATGTATAGAATTGTTGAGGCACTATGTTGTATACCTAAAATCAATATAATATCGTATAGCAACTACACTTCAATTAAAAAATCTCGCCCACCGCTAAAAAAAAGAAAAGAAATGGTATCCCACATTCTCACAGTACTGTTAGTAGAAAACAAGTCTCTCATGAAACTAGTCTGTAACAGTCATCAAAATAAATACCCGCCTTGGCATTAAAACATAATCCATTTTATATGCTACGCCTATGGAAATGCTAATTTTTTATCAGTATTAAAGTATAACTGGTATTAAAAAGCCAACTTTGAATCAACAGTTAAAATATTAGGAAGGACTCATTTGGGGGGAAGGGAGGAGGCACACTGATTACATGGAGTGACAAAATCAATACTAAAAACAAGTCTTGCTTTAGAATTCATACTCAAAAAATCTCTTAATAGCCAATATATTGCAAAACTATCCATTTGAAGAAGGATAAATTTCCAGGTAACAGATAAAACTATTTTCTGTGATAAAAATGTTTGTGATGTAGTTAATTACGTCAACGCACAGCCTTACTTCCTCTGTCCTCCATTCCCACCCCCATCTTTAAATTAAAGGAGCCATTCTTTCTTTGGTGACAGAATCCTAGGCTAGGATAGCTAACACTGGCTGGCTCCCTTTGGCTGTTAATTCTAGCAGGTGGCTCCCCCGATAAGCCTGTTTGAAAGTTCAAGTGCTTCTGTTTAAAATGACAAGAGCACACAGCCTAATCCTAATTCTCAGGGAGGCGTGAGACAGATCTGCCAGTAAGAAATCATTTCTGTTAAGAGCTAACAGTATATCTCACCAATTACCGGCCACAAACCATGAGGCCAGGCCGTGAACACAATTTTCTTAGCTCAGGGAAAGACAGGCGTGGGCTTGCTGCTGCTCAGAGCTGACACAGCTGTTCAGTGCTGAAAAGAGCTCTTGTGATTCCGGGTAACTTCCCTTTAGGTCGACCGGCTGTGATTCTTCCTCATGTTGCTCAACTGCTCTCTGCTCCATGCAGAACCCTTGAATCATTCATGTTCAAGGGACCTCGAAAGGGTAGTACTGTTAAAACTTTCAAATGCATTTAGAGGTTGATTCCAAATTAAAAGCTAATGGAGCACTGCTTCTGGAGAACAAGAGCACTTGTTTTCTGAGGGCAGATTAGTATGATTTTGTAAGGCAAGATGAAGCTATGGAATTGTGTGACTATACTAATGTAACAAGGCAAGGACACTTAGGAGTAAGTTAACCCTAGATGCTATATCCATACGCTGACAGGGCAGTCAGGAGGTCTTTCATAATTACCCAGAAAGACCTTGGCTCCTTTTACCTCTTTTACTAAGGAGAAATGAGTGAAGTGGGGCAGTGGATTAGTTTTCTATCCCTGCTGCACAAATTATCACTAATTAGGAGCTTCAACAATGCAAATTTATTATCTTACAGTTCTGTAGAAGTCAATACAGGTCTCATTGGGCTAAAATCAAGGTGTCATTAGGGTTGGCTCTTTTCTGGAGGTTCTAGGGGAGAATCCGTTCCCTTGATTTTTCTAACTTTTAACCCACATTTTTTAGCTCATAACCCACTTCCTCCTTCAAAGCCAACCAAGTTACATTTCTCTGTGCCTTTCTTCTGAAGACACTCATCAGGCTCTTCCATTTTTTAAGGATCCTTCTGATATCACTGGGCCTCCTAGATAACTCAGGACATCTGGGGAAGGGAGCCATTATTTCTCCTACCACAGGCAGTGACTCTTGTCCCACACCATTTTCAAAAGTGGCACAGTTGCTCTAAAAGCTTCTGTGCCTAGCTGAACAGACATTTAGTGTCCA